TGTGCGTGCCCTCTGTCACATTGTGCACATTTTAGGTGGTCGATAGCCATAGGTGGCAAGTGGCTGCCTTACTGGATGTTGAAACTATAGAGCCCTTCTATCGTCGTCGTACAAAGTTTTATTGCAGAGTGCTTGGGCTAGAGCTGTCTTACACAAGACCAATATCTCTTTGTTTAGAGTTCACTCAAGCTCTAAATAATCTCTCGTTAGGATTTTACCTGGCTCTAGATATATCTGTGTGTACCTGCAATGTCTAACCCAGCAGCCATTAGTCACCACTGCCTGCTGAGCCCTGGAAATATGACCGGGCTGACTGAAACTACTCCAGAAGTGAAAGGTACACTCTAGATTCCAAAGCTTTGGTGTCTGTAAAGAATGAAACAGACAACATTAATAATTTTACACTGAGCATACGTTGAAATATTTCTTTGGATATGGTGGGTTAAAAAAATGCACTGTTGAAATTAATAGTCTGTGTTCTTTTATAAAAATATTATTTAATGTTGCCGCAAGAGTATTTTCAATTATATCCGTGGCTTGCTCAGTATTTCCTCTGGACAGTCTGCCATAGATCCCTACACTCATCTTTGAATGGGGAGTGAGTGTGTGGGCACATGTGTGCATGAATGTGTGGCTATATGTGTGCGGGGGAGGGGCGTATATGTGTGCATGTAAGAGGCCAGGGTGGGACACTGAATGTCTTACTCTAACATTCTTACATTCTTTAAGACAGGACTGCTCATTGAACCTGGAGGTTTCTTATTTGGCCAGGTCAACTGGCCAGCATGCTCCAACTATCTCTGCCTCCCCAGCCCTGGGATTCCATGTGTGTGGCACCTTGCCTGGCTTTTTTACATGGATTCTGGGGGACTCAGGAGCCAGGCTGTTCAGCAAACACTTTGCTGAGTGAGTCATCTCCTGAGGTCCCACACGAGGGTACTTCCAGTGAAAGGAAACAAAATTTAAAGTTCAATTCCTCTGTCACATTAGCCACCGTTCTGTCACTCCGTAGCCATGTGTAGTTAATGGGTGCCATATTGCAAGGCACAGAGGGAAAACATTGCCCTTGTCACAAAAAGTTCTATCAGGCAGTACCAACACAGATTGTACATAGAGATGGCAAGAGGCACGGAGGTGAATTACGAAGGATGTGGCAGGTTTCCATGGCGCCTAGCCCTGCAGCACATAATCCGCTGTCTCCTGAGTACCTGTCCCTGCTTAGCTTTGTTAGACCTGTTTGTGAACAACTTATCTCTTCATCCCTCTGCATTCAAGGACTTTGGTGTGTTTGTCTCTGCTGCAGCACATCTTCCTGCCCACCCTGCCCCCCCCGCCATGTGTATGTGTAGCTAGCATGTGTTTTGTATGAGGCGGGCACTTAGGAAGCCTCTGTTAGCCGGCTGCAGGGGCAGTGTCAGTCAGGAGAGTGGAACAGTGTGACCAAGACAACAGGTAGACCTGGGAGGCTGGGAGCACGCGGTAGGAGAGGGGGGCATGTGCCAGAGTCCGTGCAGACAGGAAGAAGAGCTGTAGAAAGAGAAGAGAGGAAACCAGAGAGACAGGTAACAATTGACCCAAAATCTTTTTGGTGTGCCCCAAACCCTTGAACCCACCCCACAAGCTCCCTGCAAATGGTAGTGAGAGAAGAGCCATTCACAGGCTTGGGCAGCAGCCACATAGGAAGTGCAGAATAAACCGCAACTATTATTATGTGATACATAAACATGCAAGACCGATGAATGGGAAGTATGAAAATTAAAGGTCTGATGAGGAGGGAGAATGACAAATGGCCTCCCCCTGGGCCAGCTGGTTTGAGTTACATTTTATGGGCAGCGTGTGAATTCCGGCGCCCTTGTTGAATTTGCGGCAGACTCACACATTAGTTTTAAGACTCCCTCTCGAATAGGAACATCATAACGCTTTTTAATTGGTGCTGATAAAAAAAAAAACGTAGCCTTACTTGTAGGTGCCTGAGAGAAGTGAGTTGTGAAATTGGGTTTTCATTAAACCTAATGACGGAAAATTAAGCATAGTGCGTCTGGCGAAATGGGGTGTGATAAAAGACATCACTTCTGCATTATCGAAGGTTAATAAGGGAATAGGTGAGGTAGGATGCATCGGAAAAGGGAGTACAACCAGTTGAATTAATAAACCTTGAAGATCCTTTGGTTCCAAGTCCTCGTGGCGTCATTAGTGCTAGCATCGGCATTATCACAAATGTTGCAGCAATACGAGTTGCTAAATTCCAAATGCATTTATTTTCCATTTCACTGTTGGTTTTGCTGACACTAAGTTTACAGTCTGTCTAGCAATGTGTTTGGGGGGAAATATCCATATTGATAGCCTTTTTAGTTTGGAAATGTTTGGCGTCTCACAAAGATTTGCCAGGTGCCAACTCCAAGGAAGCCTGCCTCTGCCAGGCAGCTGGTTCCCCATGCAGCCTGCACCCGGAGTCCTTTAGAAAGTTGGGGGCAGGGCAAACCTCTGTGGCGTCCACATAATGGTATGTAGCTGGGAAGTAAGGGTTCTGGTGTTTGATTTGATGTCACCTTGATCTCCAATCCCATGATACAAACGCAGGAGCAATACTGGAAGTCTGCTTCCAATACAGTGTTTCCAATGCACGCCAGCTGGGACACCTAGGGCCAAGAGTGTGAGTCTTTAAAATGTGGGATTCTTCTGCAGTGTGACCCTCAATGGTGTCACACTGGTTTTAAGAATCCTCGGGTTCTCAGCTCTTCTGGATCTACCTCCCATTATCTACCACAGCACGGTCCCACCGTTTTTCATTTTGCCTGCCTCTCTGCTCTTACATGTGTCTCCATCTCGCAGGCTCTGATCTTTTTGCTTCAGACAGCTCTAACTATTTTCTCTTCTAAACCACCAAGCTTTGAGTGTAGACTCTATTTCTTCCTACTTTGCCACTGTCTAAAAAATTCTTGGCACGAAATTGGGTCTCATAAGTTTAATGCATAATCACAAGAATGTGACATTAGCAGGGACTCAACCCCACTATGTGCCAAGAGTTACATTCAATCAGTGCTATTAAAGATGTTTCAACCTATTACCAAATCGTGGGAGAAAAGGTGGGAAATAGTCTCAGTGCAGGCAGCCAAGTTTTTTAGCATCTGCCTGTAACCCTTCTTTCCTGTGTATGAACTTGTATCCTTGATATCTGTCTGTTAGATAATTTAGCTAATTCCCAAAGGCCAACTCTGTCTTGTCTACTCATTGTGATGAAGCAGGAAATGCTGAGACCATAGGCGACACACAGACACTTCAGCCCCTGATGAGGTGTGGCCCAGTCGGTGTCTCAAGCTCAGGCTAAACAAATCCATAGCTTGTCCACCCTGGAGATGGTAACAGGTGGGGTCAGACGGAAAGGAGGAAAGAGAAAAATGTTACCCTGACTCAACACAGATGAGCATATGAGGAAATCAAGACTCTCATCCCAGAACTGAGTGGGTTCCCTAGACATTATACTTTAATACTAAAGCCAAGAGGGGTTGGTTAAGTGTGACTAACTGGTTACCCTGCAGGCCACACATGTCTCCCCAGTAGCCTGTCTTGTGAGGAACTGACTTTGATGTTGGACTGGATTGTGCTTTCCAGAGAGCCTGTCTGACGGATTATTGTGACAGGAAATACAGGTTGAGGGGGGACATGGCTTTCAAAAAGACAAGTTGCAGAAAACTCTGGAATATATACTAAGCCTCTCAGGAAATGAACATAGCATAGGCTTCATGGATGTCTGCGTGGGGGCCTTAGTGTCTGAGAACATCTGGATATGCCCATCAACTGCCACATCTGGCAGGTCTTATCTCTTGTATGGTACAAACAAAATGGCCCCAGGGCAGAGACTGTCAAGAGTATTTCAGAGGATGTGAATATGCCAAGCCTAGATGATTCTGGGAAAGAGAAACTGTTTTCAGAGTGACCAGACAACAGAAAGTATTTGCAGGAGCTTCATAGAGATGTAGAGAGATTTCTATGAGGGGAAGGCATAGCTATATATATAGAGTGGGGGGTCTCATGTGGTCTGGCCTCAAATTTACTATTTAACTGAGAGTACCTGAACTTCTGATTCTCCTGTTTCCCCACTTGGATATGTAGGATAACAACCTCATGCAAACCAAGCATTATGTGATGCTGGGAACCAAATTCAGGGCTCAGCAGCATGCTAGGTGGACACCACCACCTGAGGTATATATATCCCCACTGCCGTATCAATGGGTGTGGCGTAGGACGCACATGAGAGTCGTGTCTGGTGAGAGCAAAGGAAGACAATTATAGAAATCTGCAAGGTAGGATCAGGGACATTTCAGGGTCAGGGGTAGTAAGGGGAGAGTAGACGGCAGGACGATGAAGGTGGCCTCTGTTGGAGCCCATTGCTGCAGGGCGGGGCTGGAAGGTAGAGTCCCTGCTGCCTATTGGGAGTCCAATACTAGCTATACTTCATCCTGGTGTACAACCCAAAGGAAACAAACTAGGAGAGAAATCAGACCACAGACATGCCAAACCAGAAGCAGTGGCATGGATCTTCTGGCCAGGCACCTGAGACTCTCCTCACCTGTAGACAAGCAACTGAACCTACCTACAGTTTACATTACATTAGGCCTGAAGCTCCCTAAAGCCTGGCTTCTTACTAGTTCTGGGATTGGCGGGGATTGGCCAAGACACACAACAAGCCTATAGAAGAGTCCGAGGACAGGCGAGGGATAGTCACTAAACTGTCCCTTTGTCTTTGCACAATCAATAATCAGCCCTTGAAACTGAAATGAACCAAGGAAAACCACATGTACAGTTTGTTATTTCACCATTTAGATCTGTGCACGCAGCCAAGCCAGGGACGCGGTGTCTTTTGTCTTTCTTAATTTCCTGACTAGTGGAGTGTCCAGTTCATTCCTTCTGCCTTCCTCAGGCCACGCTGGGGGTGGGGGTGGGGTGCAAAGAACAAAACTCCCAAAGTTAGAGTTTGTCCTGCTTCTTTCTCTTTGAAGCAGACGGCAGCCGTGGGGAGCTGTCCCAGCCTACCCTCACCATTCAGACTCACCCCTACCGGACCTGCGACCCTGTGGAGATGAGCTACCCCCGGGACCAGTTCCAGCCTGCCATCCGAGTGGCCGACCTGCTTCAACACATCACTCAGATGAAGCGAGGCCAGGGCTATGGCTTCAAGGAGGAATACGAGGTAAGAGACTAGCCTGTGAGAATTTGGAGCACTAAAGCCTTGCTTCTGACCTCTGACTGTAAACAAAAACAATGCCCAGGAGCAAGGTGGAAATGCTCCATCAGGCCCACTTAATCAGAACCTATGTTTAAACTGGAACCTAGACATGGAACTTAAGAAATAGCATGTTTCAAGTCCCCCCATTTGAGAGACAACCGTTCTTCACTCTGAAGGTAGAATGGCTCAAGCCCTCTTGCCATGCACTGTAGAAAAGCCAGGCCCTTAAGGTTCTAGGTTCTCACAGGTCTCTCTGTCTTCTCCACTGTCCTGGGTCTTCTTTAGTGTCTTCAAGTGACACCCTCAGCAACTGGGGAATGACTCCCATGCTCCCTTTGCTCTATTATACAAAACAATTTCTTTTCTTCCTGCTGTCTTTGTCTAACTCTTTTTGTTTTGAATCTTACCGACTGGATCTCACCTATTACAAAGGAAAAGCATAAAGGAAAAATTCATTAAAATTGTAGTGAGAGGCTGCGGGCAGGCCTGCTTTTCGCCTCACCTGGCTCCCGCACGGCTAGCTTAGTCCCAGAAATAACAACACACAAATTGTATTCATTTAAGCACTGCCTGGCCCATTATATCTAGAGAGTTAGTTACTGACTAACTCTCATATCTTGATATTAACCCATTTCTAATCATCTGTGTAGCATCACGAGGTCGTGGCTTACCGGGAGAGATTCAGCATGTCTGACCTGGCGGCTGGTTCCATGGCGTCTGGCTCTTAGCCCTCTTCCCAGCATTTTGTTCTGTTTACTCCGCCTACCTAATTTTCTGTCCTATCAAGGGGCCAAGGCAGTCTCTTTATTGACCAATGAAAATAACACAATAGACAGATAACCCTCCTCCATCATAAAATATTTTCCTAGACCAAAGAGCAGCTCACATCTTCCTCCTCACAAAAAAGAAGTTCTCTTAGTGACAGTGGAGCCCAGTTACAGTCATCTTTCTGTTTTGTTTCCCTTCCTCTCCCCATTTCTTCCTTGGCCAACATCTCTTCAGCATCTTCTGTATGGCATGTGCGAAATGATGCCCACTGGGTATCACTCCCTCCTTCCCCTTCCCCTCCCTCCCTGTTTACTCCTTTCTGTCATATGCAGCAATGACCCATGTGTTCTACTTAGTTTCACTGTGTGCAGTGACAGTTCGTTGTCTTACCCCAGCTCAGACTAAGTTTACCCTCAGACTATACCCCCAGAACACATTTACACATAGTATTTCTGAAGTCATGGGAGGACAGGAAATCATGCTAAACTTGAGATAGCCGGGGTGCAATGCGGTAAACCATGTGATCTTGACACATAATTTTGCTATCTCAGTTTTTAAATTCTTCATCAGTTGAAGAGTGTGCCTTATGGACCTATGTGCTCCTAAAACTTTATGGGGATATGAAACAGTGGAGGGGGCGTGTTTGACACACTTTGAGAACAAAAACATTCATGCCAGTGGATGAAATTACCAACTCAGGAGAGCCAGCAGTTAATTTCAAATACAGTCTAAATCAAATACCATTTCTGTGTGTGTACTCAGTCTATTACAAGAGTCCCTGAGATTTAAAAAAAAAGTTCCTTTAAAAAATATATTAAGACACAGATTGATAGAGGAAAATGGATTTGCTTACACTTTGCCAAACCAAGGAGAGAAAGACCACAGGTTGGTGGAGGCCTTTTCTACAGCATTGTTGCCTTTTTATAGAAAAGATTAAACCGAAGTCAGGAGATACGCATGTGTCTATCACATGTTTGTCAGAGTTGTGTGATACATCTTTCCAAGAGGCAAGCATCTCCTCTAGCTGGCACCAAAGCTGATCCAGCCTTTCCCTTTCCCCAGCCTGGGATTCACTGGGGCCCATCATTTCAGGAGTCCCATAGCAAACAGGAGGGTACAAATATTTCTTTCAAATATTTCCTTTCCTGCCAGGCTAGTTACAAGACTAGCAGTTTTGGAAGACTATTGGAACAAGAGCTACAGGTGATGCTCTCGTCATCTCTGGGTCTTGTTTCCTAAAAGCATGAATGGTCCCAAACCTTGAGTCTGCACTGATGCACATGGATTCAGATCAGTTTGTTGAGCAAACACCTCAGCACAGGGTATGTTGTTTGTAAAGCCATACCCAATATTCTTAGAGTTCAATGAACCCCCAGTTATTATAAGTTGTCTTGAAATTTCAAATAGCATCCGTAGAGGTATGTAGTTCATCCGTAAGGTGTACAAATGGTCAAAGGTACTTAACCTGTTTTATGAACTTTCGATCTAAAATTCAAGAACAGAAATACAGATGCATTGGCCGTTTTTGTACATTCCTCCCTAACACATATCTTCTAAACCACCCATTCTTATATGATCAGTTGTTTGTCCTTTGGTTTTGTTTAATTCCTCTTTATACCTGTCAGCCTGTCCCAGACTTTCTAGCGTGGAAACAAACTTAATTTACAGCAAAGAATACATATTATTCCATCATTTGAGCCTCACCCAGAAATTTCACTAGTAAGGCCAGCCTTACCCTCGTTAGTTCTAATTGTATTAATCAGTGAGCTGGTGTGCCTTTCTTCTGGTTTAAAACATTATATGATTAACCTGGAGTTAATTGGAAAGCATTGTCAGTTGAAATATGCTACTTTGTAGGATGTGGTAATCCAGTTCCTTAGAAACACTGCTGTGTTTTTCTTTTATCATAAAGGCTCCTAGAATTTTCATCTTGAACATGCATTACAGATCTGCTTGAAGACTGAGTGTAGATATAAAACCCTGAGCGTAGACATAAAACCCTGAGCCTCCAGCCCTGCTGTCATACAGGCTGCTATGTGATGTCCTTGCCTGTCACCTCCCTATTCTGCTCTGCTTTCATTTTTTTTCATGCCAGTGTGTGTGGATTTGACGAGCTGACATCTAAGGGACCGTCAGCTTTAGCAAACCGCACCTTCTAAAATCCAACTTAGCTATACAGTCATTCCCAGGACTGTCCAGTAAATATCTCCTGAGTATTCGTTCCTACCAAGGGCTAGTCTAGACCTTTAGGCTACAACTGTGAGAGAAGCAAACCCATTCCCTCATGAAGCTTGTATTCTAGCAGGGGAAAGAGAAAATAGGCATAGGCTAAAAACTAAATTGCCTCAATTAAGAGCAACAGAAAACTATTGATTTATTGCAATAATTGGTTCTATGGGTTAGGAATTTGAACAGTGAACAAGAGGTACAGTTGATCTCTTCTATGTAGTACAAGGTGCCATGGTTAGGGGCTGCTGTCATCTACAGTGTCTCTTGTCTGATGTCTAATAACTGATGTAGATGTCATCTGAGGTCTCAATGGAGATTCTCACTGGGATTCCTCCAAACAGCCTCCTGGGTAGCCTGATATTCCTGGAAGGATGGTAACTTTCAAAGCAGTTGGGCTTGTCTTTGTTTGGTTGGTTGGTTTTTATTTTGTTTTTGTTGTTGTTTGTTTGTTGAGACAGGGTTTCTCTGTGTAACCTTGACTGTCCCGGAACTCACTTTGTAGACCAGGCTGTCCTGGAACTCATACATCTGCCTGACTCTGACTCCTGAGTTTAAAGGTGTGCACCACCACCTCCCAGTGTGAACTTTTGTATATAGTGACTCAGAGATCCAAAGGTGAGCCTTCTACATAACAAGGTAAAAACTGCATACCGTTGGTGACCTAGACTTTGATGTCACTTTGTGTTGGCTATGAGCAAAGATAAAGCCTCTCTTCTTCCAGTGCAGAGGGAACTCAGACCCCACTCTTCATAGGAGGACCACATGCCAGATTCTAGAAGAGGACATAAGCTACTAATCTTAGAGTGATATGGTCTGCTAGAAAAAGAGAGAGCAGAGCAAGGAATGGGGAGGTATAATCCAGGGCTATGGCATGCAAGCATGCCCAATATTAATTAAGGTAAAAGGATTGTCCTTTAGATTTGGAGGAAGGGATTTCCGGAGCAAGGCATGTACAAGAGATAAAAAAAAAGCTGGTCAAGATATAGTGAATATGTGCTAAGCATGAAGTAATCATATTGGAAAAGTAAGGAGGAACCTAGTGGCTTTGGTACATTACAAACTGCTGTAAGGAGCTTGGTTGATACTCTGAATAAACTAGAAATTTATTGCAGAGCTTGGAGAACTACAGGTGTGAATGGTCTGGTTTTATGTTCAAAGACTCCTTCTAGCTACTGAGTTGAGAGTGGGACCTAAGGAGGCAAGGTAAGGCCAGGGATGTGGTAACCCGGATGGGACAATAGTAACTCTTACTAAGGCCAGCACAGGAGTCTATAAGAAAATGGCTGCGTTCTCTATAGGTCATAAAGATAGAGCCAAGAACACTTCTTAATACATGGAGTTAAAGGAAAGGAAACCAGGATGACCCTGAAGCTAGCTCTTAGCTGAACCTCTGGAAAAATGGAGTTGCCACCAAGAGCGATGAGAAATTGCAGAGAAGTTGGATCTGGAGCAGCTGGAAGTTGAACTGAACTGAATTTGCAATGTCCTTAAGAACAGTTGGCTGTATGAATTTGACCTTGAGAAAGAAGCCCGGGCTACAGAGAAAACACTGCTAACAGGAAACTCACAAGACCAGAGGAGGTCATCCGCCATGTCAGCAGAGACTAGGACCCTGGATTTTTGAAAGTCTCGCTTTAGGAAGGTATGAAATACTTTCTATGTAGTCCATAAGGACTGAAGAGATACAGTGAGCATGACCCCACCTGGAGAACCTGAGTTTATGATTAAAATCAGACATATAGACTTATAATTTTAATTGTAGGACAAAATGCGACAATAAAAGAATGCCCAGAATTATAGTGACCCATAGGGATAGGGAATATTAGCTTGAGGGTAAATATGTTAGTTGTTTCCAGGAAGACACTAATCTAAACCAAATGTACAAAAAATAAGAATTGGGGGCTGGAGAGATGGCTCAGAGGTTAAGAGCATTGACTGTTCTTCCAGAGGTTCTGAGTTCAAGTCCC